TTATACTGGAATCGCACCAATAGAAAAATTGGTCTACGTGCAATTTCAACGACTTGGTTACAAGGCTACTTAATTTTGCACTTAGTAACGCTCCGCACAGCTCTAAACGTGGCAGAGTCATGGTTTTCAACGGAGCCACTCTGGATTTTGCGCAGAGTAAATTGCAGTAATACACTCCAGAAGCATCCTGTGATCTTAGGTAAACGCATGCTCCGTAAGCAGATTCGGATGCGTCACAAAATGAATGCATTTCGACCTTGATTGGACGATGACACATCACATGGCGAGATATTGAAATATTTTTCAGCGATAAGATTTGATCCTGATAATATTTCCAGGCAGTGTAAATTTGTGAGGGCACACTCTCATCCCAGTCGAGGGAGAGTTGCCATAATTGCTGGATTAGAATTTTTGCCCTTATTATTATGGGCCCTATCAATCCAAGCGGGTCAAAAATTTTGGATATAAAAGACAAAATAGTTCGTTTGGTTACGTATTTCTTTCTATCGCAAATGGCATGTAAACTGTACTGAAAGGTGTCATCCTCACTATTCCACACAATTCCGAGTGTTTTCGTCTCTTTATTTTCCGAAAAATACAGTTGGTTATTTTCTGGCATGTTTGGCTCAATAATTGAAGCCTCGTTGGATTTCCATTTTCTCAGTTCGAAAAGTCCTTGAGATAAGATGCCTGTGATATCTTTTTTAATTTGAAGCACATCTTCTATGGTGTCGCCTCCAGAGATTAGATCATCCACATAGAAATCTTCTTTGATTACATTACTTATTTTGGGGTTCCGTTTTTGATTTTCAAGAGCTAATTGATGCAGACATCTGACTGCCAAAAAAGGCGCACACGAAGTACCATAAGTCACTGTGTTTAAAGTGTAAGCCTTCAGAGGCTCATCAGCATTCTTCCTCCAAAGAATTGATTGAAGATGTCGCTGATTATCATGCACATTTACTTGGCGGTACATCTTTGCACAATCAGCTGTTATGACATATTGATGTTTTCGGAATCTAATATAATGGAAAACAGATCCTGTTGAATTGTAGGCCCTGTCATGAGTGCGTCATTAAGTGATAATCCTGATTCCGTTTTCGCAGAAGCGTCGAACACAACCCTGACCTTGGTAGTTGACGAGGACTCTCTAAAAACACAAGTATGCGGGAGATAATTCAACGTTGGATCTTCAGTATGAACTTCTGACATGTGGCCTAGCGTTTGATATTCATCAAGAAAGTCGGCATATTGTGCGTGTAACTCAGTGTTACTGCGCAACCGTTTTTCTAAAGACTTAAACCGCTTTAAGGCCATTGATTTTGACTCGCCTAACTTTGAACTGTCTATTTTTAATGGCAGTTGAACTGAAAATCTTCCATTTTCTTCACGTTTATGATTTAATACAAAATCATTCTCACAAGCCTTTTGCTCTAGGGACCAAACTGGTGATGATTCGACGTGTTCTATTCGCCAAAAGTTTTCTAATTGCTTTTGTAGTTCTGAATTGATAGAAAAATGACACACTGTCTTGCTTGGGATATTTACTGAAATGTTAGCTTGACCCGATAGAATCCATCCCAATTTGGTCTTTTGCGCAATAATCTGAGAATTTGTTAATTTTATCTGTCCAATACACAGCAAACTCCAAAAAATTGATGCGCCGAGTAAAGCATCAATTTTGGATGGCACATTGCACGATGGATCAGCCAATTTTATATTTTCTGGTATCTGAAGATTCGAAAAGTCAATGGTGTTCAAAGGCAGATTATCCGTAATTTGATCTATACCAAAAAGGAGAGATCTGTTTGGAAATTATTGTGAACAGATTTAATGGTTGCCTGTACTTTATGGGAAATGTCTAGAGAAGCTTTACTCAGCCCTGAGACCGCAAGGTTTAATGTTTGCTTAGACAAATTAAGTTTCTCACATAGTTCTTTCGTAATGAAGTTACTCTGCGAACCTGAGTCCAGTAGGACCTTACATTGGTGATATCTACCAGAACTATCACACATAAAAACAATTGCTGTCGATAACAAAATCTCATCATTTTTGAAGGTAGTATGAGCTGATACTGATTTTTCTTGAACTGGATTATCAGTGCTTTTATTATTTTCAAAATGCAAGAGTACATGATGTTTTTTATTACAAACCATGCAAAGGTTTTCGGTTGTGCATGTCTGATATGAGTGACCAGCACCAAGGCAATTTGCGCATAACTTATGTTTCTTAGCCTCAGCGTATCGCGTCTTCGGAGACAAACTTAAAAACTTATCGCAAATTGTAATTTTGTGAGTTTGTTTACATATGACACACGCGGCCATCGCAAAATAATTTTGAGATTGCTCTTTATGATTAAAACTTTTTGTATTTTTGAAAGATGAGATATTAGATGGACTTTGTGATTTATTTTCCGGTTTTTTATAATTTATTGTTTGTAACAGAATGCACCTTTTATGAAGAAAATCGGTAAAATCCTTTGTTGAAGGTATAGTTAAGGGTTCCGAGACTACCTCCCACTCCCTTCTGGTGGAATTGTCAAGCTTTGAACAAATTAAGTATATAAGTAGAGTGTCCCATTTGTCAACAGGCTCTTGCAATGATTCTAATGCTCTCAAATTTTTATTAAAATTATCTAACAATTGCCTCATACTGACATGTGACTCTCTGCTTAACTGAGGTAGTTCAAAAATTGCCTTTACGTGATTGTGTATAATGAGGCGTTTATTGTGATATCTATCCTTGAGCAACTTCCATGCTATGTGATAGTTTGGAGAAGTAGTTTCAAGACCAGATATCACATCAGCTGCCTCATTCTTTAAAGAACTGCGAAGATAATGAAATCGCTCTATATCGCTTAAAGTAGGATTGTCATTTATCAAGGCATTGAAAGAGTCATGAAAACTCATATATTCATCATAATTACCGGTAAAAGTAGGTAAATCATTTTCGGAAATTTAATACCTGGAATATGGTGTGGAACCACCTGTTGAATGGATTGTGCTGAGTTTGAATTAGTCAAATTTAATTCTAAAATGCCGTTTGCATTTGCAATCACTTGATAATATTTATCTTCAAACTCCGCACGTTCGTCAACGTTTGTGTCCTCGCCATTAACATCCTCATGCGTCTCTATTTGCATTTGAACCTCATCGAATTCTTGCCACAACCTTTGACATTGTGCCATTCGTACTTTTAATTGATCATACTCATCATTGAAGTTATTTATAAAATTTTCAAAACGCGTAATTTGACCTTTTATATTACCTCGCTTTTTCTTAAGAGTTTGTAAATTATTAGGATTCGTTTTTTTTATTTACTTAAGAAACAATTAGTTATAATATTTAAAAATAATAAAATAATACTATCGTAAAACTATTTCGGATACGGGCAAAAACTCTGAACTTTATACGGAATTAGCGCAAATAGAAACAATCTAAATATAATGCGGATAAAGGTTTATACGACCTGGTGAATCAATGCTCCTCGACGATGTTTCCCTCCAAAGCGGTACGGAACCATTCGATACGCTGAACACCCTCACCCACGGCTTAGATCCTTTTTCCTTGAATTCGACAACGCTGCCAATCTCGTCCCATATGATCCTTAAGACGGCGTTCTTGCCTCGCGATTCCACTCTATCGCGCTCTCTCTGACGTACAAGGGTAACTCCCTACGAACTTGACGCCTGGGAACAAGGCTACTGCACCGGGAAGACTCTGGAAGACGGTCTCGAGTCAATGGCTGCTTCGTCGGCCGGCGAAATTACCGATACACTTTACGATTTTCGCTGATTATTCGGTTCGAAGGACCAATGTACCACAATGGTATGTTCTGGGGTGGTGAAGAAGAGACTAGACGTATTTTAATCACACACTAACATTTATTATACTAATTATACTAACTAAAAAACATATGTAAATGTACAGAAAAAAATATATATATCGTCTATGTTAAAAGTCTCTTTTACACTGGTTTCTGTCGCGCGGGACGCGGTCGCTTCGGATTCTTCTTGCGACGTTGCCGGTACGCGTCAACAGTAGTTGGCGCGATGACGTCAACTAGCGTGATATTTAAAATAACTATTAACAAAATGATTAATAATAACAATTACACAAGTTAAATTGTTTTTCTATAATGTCTTTATTTATTTTTCTCTAATTTTGCTGATATTTAACATTTTTAAGCAATATTTGTATTAAAAAAAAAATAGTTTTAGATTTTTACCATGTCAAAATATCCTAAGCTAGTTGAAATAATTTATTATACATTTACATCACTTAGCAAAAACAATACTGAACATTATAGGCTGTTACAGGTAGGAATGATCTCCATTTCTAAGGGAAATTTGATAAATAATTTTAAAAAACTATTAGTTGACTAGTTCATCAATTATAATACGTTAAGTACACTAAAACTTTAAAAAATATAGTGTATCCACTAAAAATGTCCTGTAATCCACTCAAATACATTTGATATACTGAAAACATTCGGAAAACAATGTAAAATTATTTATAAACAAGCTGAAAACTGCTGAGTACCACACGATGACGCGGAATATGGCGGCTAATGTCAAGTTACGAGGCAACCTGTTTAATTTAATAACCTTGGTTTTCACAGTTGCTACTTTTTTATGAAACTTAAGATGGTAAACATGTGGTAAACACATATTTGATGCCGCTGTTAAAAATTTATGAAAAAAATATATGAAAAAAAAAAGACTTAAATGTTTTCTAAAAAGACTTAAATCTCATAAAACACTTAAATCTTTTAAAAGATTTAAGTCTTTTGTAAAATTACTTATTAAAACTCATGAAAATGATTTAAGCCAAAAAAAGACTTAAGTTTTCTGTGAGTTTGCAGCTCTGACACTCATTGTCAAATTAATTCTATAATTAAGGTAAATTTTTTTTTATAAATTTTTGGTTGATGTTGATTGTTGTTGAGACCTGTCGAAATCGCCCTTCTATCACTGGACAGGCTAACTATTAAAAACTTACATATGACATATTCAAAATACTCCCAAGAGACAGCTTTTCTAGCTGCCCTGCATAAGGTACGTAGGGGTGGCCAAGCTGCAGAAAACCAAGGATCTGGAGGATCCTTCAATCGCCATCTTAACATAACTGAATCATATATATTCAGAAACTCCTCCTGTGACAGTAATCCAGTGTTTGATACATTAAGTTGTCGAAATATTAAAAGAACATCTCTTTGACCTGTAAAATTATATTTCTTACATCTAAAACTTAAAATATATTGATTCTTATACTTGTTTTTGGTGAATAATATCGCATTAATCCTTGGAATTGTTTAAATCTAATACCCTCGGGACTCTGTCTACTGACCAATAATCGAAATGCCAGCTTACACGCTTGACGCTTATGTAATAATAATTTTCTAAATTTGTGTTTCTCTATTCCAGTAAAAGTTTCATAAACAACGGCTAACATCTACAAGATTTTCATAGTGACAATGATTTGAAAATTATTACGATACACAACACTTACCAAATTCATTAAAACATACAATACTGTAGAAATATATGAAATAAAAAATACAGCACTCCATTTTGATTTGGCATATGAAGGCATCATAACATCTGGAAAACTAAAATTAAATGTAATTAACATACAGGGTGGCGCACCTCATTCGCCTCGGTTGATTATACGAAAACGGAGAGATATAGAAACAAAATATTTTATGGGTATATGCGGGAAGGCAATGTGCATAATTTAAAATTATTTTGAAATGTACAGGATATGTTTTAGAATCAAGATCCACACCAAAGTTATATTTTTTTTTATGGAACACCCGATATTTTATTTCATATTTGGATCCTTGGACACAAAATAAGGCATTTATTATAAGGGTCAAATATGTTTACAAGCCTTGGTTTTTGAGGTATTTAAAGATATTTAAATATGCATGCTATAATAAAAAAAAATTGTCAACCCCCTGTACATTGCTTTTCGGAATTAATTTTTGTGCTGAATTTTAAGTCAAAGAAAGAAGCTTTACTGAAAAATTTGATTGCTTCGTTTAATGTATACAGGAGTATCAAAAATTGCTGGTCTATTGTAAATATTTATTTTACATTAGGGTTTCCTATTTAGCTCAGATTTTGAATAAATAGCAATTTTGCAAATAAAAAAATTATTAAAATATTGTAGGTAAATTTAAGTAAACTGTTATAAATCTAAATAATAATATCCATAATCTAATGTCGATTTTGAAAATAGTGGTGGGTTCATACAGCCATTACTGTCACTAGAAAATTGCCATGGCGACACCAGCCATCTTGATTGCCATTTTATTGAAAAATCGCTTATTATTCAAAATCTGAGCTAGATAATATGTAGGTATAGGAAACCCTAATATAGTTTGAAAGAGCATTTGAATCTGCTTTGATTTATTTAAAAAAATACAGGGTGTTGCCTTTAAAATAACGAAGTTCTTATATAAAATAAATCCTTAAAATAGATCAGCAATTTTTTGTACCCCTGTATGAATTTAAGGAAATAATAACATTTTTCAGTAAAGTTTATTTTTCTACCTTTAAACTCAGCACAAAAATTAATTCTGAAAAGTAATGTATAGGGTGTTAATAATATATTCTATTGTAGCATGCATATTTAAATATCTTTAAATATCTCAAAAACCAAAGATTTTAAACATATTTAACCCTTATAATAAACGCCTTTTTTTGAGCCCAAGAATCCAAAAATTAAATAAAATACCGGGTATGGTCCATAAGAAAAAATATAACTTTGGCATGGATCTTAGTTCTGAAATACGTTGTATATTTCAAAATAACTTTAAATTGTGCACATTGCCTCCCCACATATACTCATAAAATATTTTGTTTCTACATCCTTCCGTTTTCGTATAATCAACCGAGACGAATGAGGTGTGCCACCCTGTATAATATTATAATTGTTATGTAGAAATGTGAGTGCCAAAACTTTATCAATAAATAGTATTGTTGTCAATACTTACTTTGCGGTAGTTAGTAACACAAACATGTTAACAAAACTATCAGATAATGTTTTAAAATAAGGGTTTCCATGACCACTGAATAAAAAGTACCCTAAAAAATAAACAATGTAGATGATCTTTTAAATTTAAGTCTTAAATATACAGGGTCGGCAAGGTTTGGCTTTGGGTTCTGATTTTCGTATGTATGAAGAATATAATCAATGTATAAGTATATACATATACTCAGTAAAATAAGATTCATAGACACATAAATACGGACCCAAGACTGTCTCTTGCCGATATGGTATAACAAACCTAATAAGGCATAGCTACAAACAAAAAACATCAACAAAATCAACATATCTAAAATGGGAGGCAGAGATTGAAGAATTTGTCTTATATATCTTCTAACAGCGCCGCACGCTCGAGTATCTACTAAAAATATAGGTCTTAATGCTCTGGTCACACGAAAATGGGAAGACTGCCTTATGAGTACGACAATGGCTTCTATGACCATAATTATAAGTGTGATACACTAGAAAATACATAACATTTTGAAATATATTTCATAATAGTACTTGCTTAACTTGCCTTCACCATTGTTCTTTTGTGCTTTAGAATAGTTGTCCAACCAATCCATCTTAATTTTAAAGCTAATTCTGCACCAATAACACCTTCAAATTTGATTAAATGTAATATACCTGTAATAAATCCTTAAATAAAAAGGTATAATTTACCTACCTAAACAAACTAATTCCAATAAACTATGTACTATAGGTGGCAATTCAAACTGATCCACAGCAGGCCTTTCCACGAGAGCCAGTAACAATAATACTACAGAAAAAAATAAATCAAAACCATAGTACCATTGATTGTGAACCAAAAGATATGCAGGTAATGCTGAGGGGTGACGAGGATGTGAATCAAATTTCTCATTATTTTCTCCTTCCTATAACAGGCACATGTAAAAATATAATCATTTTAAACATGAAATTAATGATGATTTACTTCTAAAAATATAGCGGCTTCATGATAATTCATTTCCCAGTGGTCAACTTCGTTATTATCCACATCTCGTGAGAGACTGGACCTGCTCCCCATTTCATCAATTGGATCTAAATAAAATTTTAGCAAATGAATATTTTACTATGAGTAATTAACTATAATTAGAAATATATATTTTAATACAAACTAAATTAAATTTCTTCAAAGATTTTACAAAGCTGATAAGACAAAACCAGGTAAAAGGGATTATAAAGATTTAAAACGATGGCACGAGTAAACAAGATAAGGCTTGATTTATCTCTTATGTTATAAATAAAAATTAAAAACATACTTCTATTAGCAGATCCATATGAAACATTATTAACATCTTCTGTAAATCTTTTATAACCATCGTCGTCTGGAGATCCTCTTGTTTGAGCCATTGATGTTCGCTTTTTTCTTCATAAACAGGTAGCCCCAACAGCCCTTTAATCATAGAAAATACCTTTAATCACTTTTCTGACCATTTAAAACATAAAACTGTCAAAAACATATGTAAAGTAAAAAAAATGTAAATATGAATCATTGACCTTAAAAGAAAATTTAAATTAGTGAAAATCAAGAATATCGATAAACGTATCAACTGGTATCAATATATCGATACTTTAACAATACATTGTCATAATATATCGATATTTAAATATTCGTGATAATCTATGGTAATAATAGTCTTTAATTTTTAACAAAGATTTTTAATAAAACTTTTCTGTAATAGTAGCAGAGATATAGTAGTTTTCAATAACGCGCCTTACAACGTGAGTTTGTATCATTCAATAAAAGCAAATAAAAGGTAAAAATTAAATAACAAGAAAAATTCTTTTTATTCAAAAATTGGGATGAATCAAAAAGTACCTCATCTTGGTTCTTCCTTTAATTCTCCAAATATATTTGAGATCTTTTATATTTTTTTTTGTCTGAGATGCTTCTGATTGCTGATTTTTGTCGAACTTCTCAAATTTTTATATTCATCGTCATTTCGAAGATAACTTGACGCGTTTTTTTTTCGTTCATACGGTATATTAAATTAATTATCAAAGTATTGACAAATGAAAACTATACAAAAATAAGATATAATAGGTACGTTGGTATGTAGTATATAAATAATCTCTTCTTAAAATGGAATTTCTAATTTAAATATGAATCAACTCAAACTGGTATTGAGCGTTGTTATCCGGATAATAATTATATAGTTATTTGATTGCCACTTTGGCGAATGTTTTATTAAAGCCTCCATTATAAAATATTTGAATCTTTTGAGATTATAATAATAAAAGTACCGACTTTAAAGTTTAATGTAATAATATATCATATTACGTATAATAATATATAGTTAATTAAATAGTTTTGTTTAACGCGGCGCGGTTCTTATTGTTTAAACATTCTTAATCTATAAGTTAAGAACTACCGGATGATCGAACAAAAACGGCGTCCAGTTGGCTTGGAAATGACGATCGATGACATTTCCCATATATTTTTACATATAGCGATCTTCATTTCATAGCCATCGTTGACGCCGTTTTTATTCGATCATACGGTATTTTATATTGTTTGTTAGTATCACAGAATAACTACAGAACGATCAGTCAATGTAATAAAAAAGCGAACAAAATTTTTGCTGCCATCTATAGTGGGCCGAGTGCGGCTCAGGGCTTCAAGGTCAAAATAATTATTTATTAAATAAAAAAGTCGTGTCGGCGGCACGATTCGAACCGGCTCCTTCGTGTCAGGGGGGTGACACTGAAATAGGAAAATTGGAAACAGTCATTAGTGTCATTCCTGTCATTCTCCTCACGACAAGTATGGCCGCCTAGACAAGGACAGCATTGTTTTGTCTAACTATTGTCTAACTTCACAGTTTAGAATTGACAGATTTCAGTTTCAGAGACAACTTCAGATTTGTTCTAGAACAAATTCGAAAATATTCGACGCCATTTTAATTCATTCCGTTTAGTTTCGTTTTGGAAGTTCAATTTAATATTTCGGCTGAAATTTATAAATATAAAGGTAATAAAGTATATAAAATATAAATTACATGACAGGCCACCACGTCGCTCTTTTATTCGATCATACGGTATATATTACGCTATGTACATGTGGGTATTAATACAAATATATGTACCAAAATGTAATTGAGTTACGCATATTTTATTTAATATATTATTTTGCTTATATAATATTTATTTAAGCTTATTATTATAGTTATTTTGTATTTGTTTTTATAGCTATAGGCATTATTATTACGAAGTTCTATAATAAACAATATTTTACTCTTTATTTTATAAAAATAATGTCATAAAAATATGACCTTCTGTTAGGTACATTAAATTTTTAAGTTAAGAACAATCTAGATTTGAACAGACTGATAGAATTCAATTTTTATTCTAATTTCAATTTATCGGTATTTAAACAAACTACAAAAAAACACACGCAATACAAATAATATATTTGGAGGTGCCTTTTAATTATTATCAAGTATTATATAGTTATTTTATAGTTAAGACATTTTTAAAAAATGTTATCGGATCCGGACCTAAAGGAACTAGAGGAACTAAATAAAAGACTAGTTTACGTATGGATCAGCCAGCGCGATTGATGCTAGGCAGGCGTGGGGAGTGCCAGCCGTATGTTATCGGATCTGGACATAGAGGAACTATTAAAAGACTAGTTCACGGGAATCTATTCAGTCGGCAGATCCGCGATATAATACAAGGAGACGACGATGGATTCGGCCTTGTCTATTGCCACAGCCGGCGCGGCGTAATTACCACATTTTTTTAAATATTTTATGGGAATGTTTCACTTAAAGTCTCTAAAATTAAGAAATATCTTATAAAATGAAGTAGATATTCTGAATTTTTAGACAAAAACAAAAAGCTTGAAGTGGGGAAAAATACATTTTTTCGTACATTTTTCGTATTATTTTCTCCAATTGATTTGTGATATAGTTTTTAAACTCTGATTTGAGTTTCTTTAATTTTTTTATTTGCTATAAAACTTACCTATATGTTTTTAACATATGCAATTACACGTCTTCTTATATTTCGTACATTATAAAAATTATAATGATCTGTATAATTTTGAATAGTAAACTGGGGGGTGAATAGTTCTGACTGAAAACGAAATCCATTAGCAAGCAACGGGGATGTCAATGTTAGTCGGGAACTATTGTGAACTAAGGACCTAATTCAAGGAACTATTTTTCTGGAGGAACTAGAATTCCCACCTCTAATCGAGATCTACCACCCCTTAAAATAGTTGCACTTATTTCTGGGATACCCTGTTTATAACAATACACGTGATGCGTATACGCAAAGTTGCGAACGATGTCAAGAATAGGTGCCCAGATTGGCGCTGACTACCAGTAAGGGGCAAACCTGCTTGCACTGTGTTCGCACACATATATTAAATATTTCAATATGATATATGATGGATCAATAAATATGGGCACAATCCCCAATGCACAATCTTTAATTTACTTGACGAACACATTTCGAATGCCGGTTATTTATCTCCCAAAAACCAAATATTTAATGTATATCGTAGTACAATTTTTTGAGATACTTTTTTTATAGAAAGAAATAAATTTATATATGCACTCCAAGTTAAAAAAAGATGCACATAGTCTAATTCCAATGATACCAATCACAGATGATTCCAAATCCCAATCTTTTCTTTTTACTAAAATCAAAATGGCGATTGACAACTGATTGTTTTGTGGTTCAATAAAGTGATCGTTTAAAGGAAAACTGTGAAAGCTAAATTTTCACGTAATAAAAGACAATAAATTATAAAATGTGCAATGTGACCTAATCGAATAAGTGCATTGTAGAGTTTTTCAGTTCGTTTTAGTTAGGATATAAAGTCGTGACAATTGTTTTCAAAAATTTTCACTTGTCTTGAAAAGACAATGGCGGTGCTGGTGGAGTATTGTTTGGCTGCTGTGTGCTAAGTTTCCTTTCTTTTACTTCTTTTATGATAAATATGAATACTAGCATAGGATCGGATTACGATTTTAATTCCGAGGAAAATGCATCAAAATGGAAAGGTCTTTTAACTGCTGCTTTAAAGAAGGTAAATTTGGCCATAGGCCACTTTGCACCTGTCAATATTTCTTCATTATTTCAGGGGATTATGAATTGTAAAATGTACCCTATTTAAATTCATTTACTTAACTCTTATTAACATTTGTTGGAATATAATATTGACGTTTTGGTTGTTCTTAATATATTTTCAATTTTTTGGTTTTTATATGAATATTCATTGTTTTGTCTGCTTTAAAGATATTTTCTATTTATATTCATATGACAATTTAAATTAGACTTAATATGTACATTTATTAAGAAAATACTTAGAACAAGAGATCATAATTTAAGGTTTTGGAGCAAGTTCATCCTTCTCTTGGGGCTCGTGACGAAGCTCTAGAGTATGTGGAGAGCTTATGTTTACGACTTTTGGGTATGCTTTGTGCTAAGCCAAGTCCACACACTGTTCAGGTATTATTTTCACAAGATAATTTGATTTTAATAATTTAATGTTAAATATTATTTAGGATGTTGAATCAAGAGTTCAGAATACATTTCCAACTCCTATTGACCGATGGGCATTAAAGGAAGCCCAAGAGGCATTGGACAGGGGTAAAAAGAAATCAGTTCTCTTGTTGCCAGTAGATAAGATTCATCATCTTATGCAAAAGGTATAGATAGTTTTTTAATTAACATACATGGTGGGCGCCTCTCATACAACGTGGAGGCTCCAAGGAGAACGATAGTTTGTATTGAAATGAAATTTTGTGAGCATATTTATGTTAATTTAGAGCATTTTTTAAAAATATAGAGAGTTCTACAGCATGTCTCCACCCTATACATATATTAATTAATTTTCGGATTCTAATAGAAAAATAAAGGTGAGCTTCATTAGAGAAGTATATGACTAAAATGCAAGGTTTTTGACATTAACACTAAAAATGAAGAACATTTTCTTTTCATTTCAGTAAAAGCTACCTAAATTCGAATTTACTCAGTATAGCCCAATATGTGGTTAAAATAACGACTGTATTTTAAATCAAACTAAAACTTGGCCCAAAAAGTGACACAGGGTTAGACAAAATTAATATTGAACATTGGTCACCTTTAAAAGCAAATTACTCTTTTATTTTAAATGAAATACCCAATATATTATTTCAATATTCAATGAGGAATTCATGTCTCTTCAAAATACTATTAAGGTTGCCTACCCATCAAGCTAAGATTTTCCTAGGTATTTTCGTTTTTATGATTTAGTGTCAGTAGATTTGTAGAGTTGTATTTATTATTTGCTAAATCTAGGTGGCTGTAATAAGTCTGATGTTACTTCAACATAGCTGTGAAATTAGTTCGACTTTAACAACTAGTTATCATTTTGTGTCAGTTAAAACAAAAAAAAAAATCTTAGAAATTTGTCAAAAATGTAAACTGATCCTACATCAGAAAGAATTGATATGATTCTATTAGTTGGTGATTGCAGTGTGTCACCTGCAGTCATTTAATAGAATACTTAAATGTTCCTAATTTATCTAGTCTTGACTTTTTTTTTATGACAGTGTTTACAAAACTCAACCAACTTAGACAACATGAGAGAAGTGATTGTGACTGCTTTTCGAAGTAGAACTTCACATATGCCTTTTGACATGAGAAGGTCTTTTGAAAAGAGAATCATTTTATGAAGTTTTTAGTGCACAGGAAAGGAAATATTGGGCATTTTATTTCATCTAGCTATTTTTTGCGTCATCTAGTTTTAATTCCTGTAATGATTATAAAAAAGAAAATATATTTAAACGTGTATCTTTTTATAACGGTTGAATATTTTACTCTAAATCGTTTGATTTTTGTTAAATTATAAAAAGGTATATCACAGCCACCTAGATTTTATCAAATATAAGAAAGATCTACTGAGGCAAAATCATAAAAATGAAAATATCTAGCAAAATCTTTGTCTGAGGGCTAGGCAACCTTAATAGTATTTTGAAGATATATGAATTCTCCATTGAATACCGGTATAATATACTGGGTGTTACATTTAAAATAAAGGAGTAACTTGCTTTTAAAAGTGGCCAATATTCAGTATTAATTTTGTCTCACCCTGTATAACTTTTCGGGACAAATTTTAATTTGGTTTAAATACCAGGCTAATAAATATCAGGTTATACAGAGTAAATTACAATTTAGATAGCTGTTATTGGAATTTAAAATTTATTCTACATTTTCACAAAATGTGAAATATGTCAAAATCCTTACAATTTAGGCATATGCTTCTTTAATGAAACTCACATTTATTTTTTTCTAGAATCCGAAAATCAATTAATATAGTGTTCCATTTCAAAAATCCCACTTTGATGCGTAACTTTTTTTGGGGACACCCTGTAGAACTCTATATATCTTTACAAAATGCTTTCAATTAACCTACATATGCTCTCAAAATTTCATTTCGATATAAACTCCTGTTCACCTTGGAGCCTCCACGTCGCATGAGACGCGCCACCCTGCACAGTGGTTCCCAGATAGGTCATTACTTAGAAATATTAATTTAAAAATGTTTGCCTGAAACTGTTGCTAATACTTTTCTTATATTCCCCTGTAAACGATACATAATAAATAACAAAATCAAGCAAGCCTAGTGTAGCGCTTTTTTTTATTAGAAATGTCACATTTTTGCTACTGGTATCAAGCTGACATAAACAGTTTTCAGATAACGCTAATTAATTACTTATTTTATTTTCAAAAAGTACAAAATTTGAGAATCCCCCTGTAGCTTCGAAACCGATCAAGATAGCCCCGATCCGTTTGCGCCATTGTTATTTTTTCAAAAAAAGAACCCGAGACTGCAGTATCAAAATTTGAATATTTCTTACGGTTTCTTAGATACCCTATAGAAACAACCAAAATGGTCCACCCTGTACATATGTGCAAACATAATCTGTATACCTTTCCGAATAGTTAGAACTTAAAATGCAAATCACACGAACTGGGCCCAATTTTTTTAATACATGTTACATTAAGTTTTTTATATACATTTATTTAGCATTTGTTATCAATTTCTACTAAAAAAGGTGCAGTCAAGCTATATCTAGATATAACAGTTATAACCGCGCAGTTAATTAAGGGGAACCACTGTGCCCTGTACTGAATCTCTACAGAATGTTTATGTGGTAATTTTTGGGAAAACTGGAAATCGTCCCATTTTCACCAAAATTGGTGCACACCCTATTTTGAGGTCGTAGATTACGAATCTGAATAAATTTTTTTCTGGCGGTCTCTTACCGTTTTTCAGAAACGAAAAATTATTTCAATATCGAATTTTTCTTAATTTCTCATATTTTTAAGGTTTTCTAGCGCATATTCTGTTAGGTATTCAATAAACAATGAGGTTTTTGCTATTTTCTGTTACTTTTTTAACCAATTCTATGCATAATAGAGGAAAATTTGCTAAAATAAATTTGTAAACAATTTGAAAATGTTGGGTTATGTGTTTCTGGCATATAAAGCAACGTTGCCAATGCTAAACCTAAATTTAGCGCCTTTTTTTCGCTCAATCTGGTATTAATATGGAGTGTAGAGGTAAGGAGAAATAACTCTTATGGGACTTTTATTGAAAAAGTGGTCACAAAATGGGAAGAATAAGGGTTCGCCAAATGACCACAGTGGCGCTAAAAACGCATAAATCTAAAAAATGAAAAGTAACCATAGATCAGACAATAAAAATAAATATAACCAAACATTACCCAAAAAAAATTTTGTTTTTATTTTTTAGAATATAAAATAATTATTGTTTATCAATATTTTGTGCTTTATTTATTATTTAACAATGGTTAAAGTGTGTGTGGTGCGAAGTTGATTGAATAGCTGATGGAAAAATAAAGAACAAAGGCAAAGCCTGTAAAATACATAATTATAATTCAGTATTGTATTATTTGTATTATATGTAAAAATTAGAGTCAATCAAAAGTGTAGTAAACATTTTTCGTAAGATTATTGACATACATGTTACAAAGTATATTTTACAATCCTTTCTATAAAGTTACAACCTGAATAAAATTTATTTTTAATGATTTTAAAGTTTGACAGACATGCACAAATTGTTGGCATTTTTATAAACAAATAAAAGTAGGAAATAAATAAAGTTGTAGGTACTTTCAAAAAATATAGTTAACTGTAAGTGCTGTATTTTAATAATCTATCAAAAATCAAAATCATCAGGATAATATTAGGTATTGATTTTCAAACAAGAATTAGATTACAGCGATGGTCAAAAGCATTTAGATATTGCTTTGAAATCTACAGATAAGGTATGGCAGTTTCGTTTTAAAGAACAAGATGTTAAAGTTTATGATAAAATTGTCATCAGAAATACTGTCCACTTGCAGTATTTACATAGGAAAATGTTGGAGGATGAAGCTCTACCTACTGCCTCAGGTTAATTTAAATTCTGAGTTGCAACAACAGCAACAAGCAAAAAGGGCACCATTAAATGAATATTATACACATAGTATTATTATACAAAAGAAAGAGTAATGTTATACACATAAATATTAACATTTTGTAGAGCAACAACAGAATAAAAACCAAAATATGAACACCAGCAACTAAAACAGGAACCATTAAATGAATATTATATACGTAAGTACAATTTGATTGAATAAAAACAGCGTCAGCGATGCCTATGAAATGAAGATTGCTGTCATTTTATATGTAAAATGATATGGAGAATGTCATCGAGATGTTCATTTCCAAGCCAACTGCACGCCGTGTTTTTTCGATCATACAGTATTATTATACACATAAATAGTAATATTATACACATAAACATCCCTTGATAGAGATCAACATTTTGTAGAGCAATAACAGCATCAAATAATGGAAATAATGGACCTTATTGCACAAATCAAAAACAAAATTTCAGCATTACTACTTTATTGGTTATATCAATAAAAGAAATTGAGTTTATCAGTCTAGATCCTACAAGCAAGCAGATCTATCACATAATTTTAAATGAAGATTTATCTATTATAGTATGTATAAACACTTTGCATCTTTTATTCAATGTTGTAATGAATTAACAAATTCCAGGTAATTTATTCTAATAACGAAAAAAAAACTTTAGACCAAAAAATATTTTCTTCTGATGAGGTTTATGAATATTAAAGTCTGTTGAAGTTTGGCCATTATGTGTTGGTATACAATTTATTTATGATGTTACAGTAGTTAAACCATCCGAGTACAAAACATGTTTAAAATCCACTATTCTTAGGGCGGATTTACCCAATTTCTTAATTGCTATTCCTTAATTCTTATTTCTTAGTCTCTAATTTGTAATTCTTAATACACAATTCTTTATCCCTTATTTTTTTAGAGACAGTTATCCAATGTCTTAATCCTTATTTCTTAATTCTTAAAACTGACACTAGTAGATCAAATCAAATCGTTTTTATTTCGCTGTGTTATTGTGTGCAATGAGGTCCATACAAAAAATTGCAGCACTTTCGGGTTTGTTTATAACCATGGCTTGTTGTGTTGCTACTCTCGTGAATCGCCACCGAGGTTGTAGGTGATTTGGGGTTCGCCCCATGAATAGAAGAAAGGACATGGAAGGCAATTTTGGAACTCTAATACAAGACATGCCTTCCTTGGAATGGGACGAACAACAGTTCACAAAATACACCAAAAAATTAACATTTCAAAATTTCACGCATGCGCATCTACACGTTTTCCTTAATCGCTAATTCGTAATCGCTAAAAAGTTAAAAGTTGGGAACTTTCAAAATAAAGAATTACGAACCGTGGTTAAGAATTAAGGATTAAGACATTGTATAACCAAACTAACTGCATAACACGTATTTTATCTTTTTATAATTTAGCGAATAAGAAATAAGAATTAAGGAATAGCAATTAAGGAATTGGGTAAATCCGCCCTTAATGAATGGAAACTACCAACTTGAGAGGAAGCTAAGAGAAAAGTTCTATTGGGTGGACTACAAGGAAAAGGGATATACATGAGGATCTGGAAGGGCTATAACATTACGTCTCAAGCCGTGGGACAATAGGAAACGAAATTCAAAGGAAAATATTACAATACGTGGGATGCAAATTATAGTGCAAAGGATTGAGAAAAAGAATTATTAAAAGTAGTTATTTTTATGATAGTTAAACCATCCGACTACCAAATATATTTAAAATCCACTATTCTGAATGAATAGCAACTACCAACTTGGGAGGAAGCTGCGAGAACGATTCTATTGGGTAAACTACAAGGAAGACATGAGGATCTGGAAGGGCTATAAAATTATATTATTCCACGTCCCAAGCCATGCAAGCCATGTTGGAATAGCTGGGAGTGAAAAAGAAGATAATCCTGCACACGATTCTTGTCTAGAAGTAGTTGATATTAAGGTAGTTAAGCCATCCGACTATCGAACATGTAAAATCCACTATTCTGAATGAATGGCAACTACGATGGCAAAACGTAAATAAATACTTGTACAGTATAAAATTACATTATATTGGCTTAATTTTTATACTAAATAAAATGTGTTACGTTATTTTTGACCTGCATTATATTTATTTAAATCCCATATCATCAATTAAACTTTAAATAAAGTTTTCCTAATTATAATTAACATTAATTTTAAACTAAAGCTTTTTTTCATCTTGAATGAGATTTACGAAATAACTTATGAGAAAAATTAAAAAAAGGCTCAGTCTATTGCTTCTGAATAATTGATAATAAAACCACATGTTGACTTACTTTTATACTAAATAAATGTAGGTATGAAGTTATTTTAAAGCTGCATTATATTTATTTTAAACCCATCACCAATTATTACTTTAAATAATTTTTTTCTTAATTATAATAACATTAATTTTAAGCTAAAACGATCAGAATAATGTTTTCGTCGTCTTGAATGACATTTGCGAAATAACTTATGAGAGCAATAAAAAAAGAGCCTAGTCTATTGCTGCTGAATAAAAATCTGTAATTTATTTCATGTGACATAAAAATAAATTTGTATTTTTTTGAAACCCGCGGCTTCACGTATATGATTCACGTCAAATATTTATGTCTTTTGAATCAACTGTTCTAAAAATGTTCGGCGCATGTCTTAAATTTTAGGTTTTTGCTACAGCAGCGCCATCCTAATTCTTCCCTTTTTTTGACCATTTTTTAATGCACGGAGTTGTTTCTCCTTACCTCTACACTCCATAGGTATTAAGAAAGGCGGTCGCCTTCCCATAACTGCTATTTTACCAACGAGATCTAACTATTTATAACCACGAAGTTGCACGAAAGAGTTTTGATTGCATTGGTTACAACTTCTATGGGGAGGGGGTTAATCTTTTTTTTTTGTTATATTATATCAAAATAATATTAAAACCCTCCGCAAAGAAGTTGAAACCAATGCAATCAAAACTATTTCGTGCAACTTTGTGGTTATAAATATAATATAACAAAAAAAGATTAACCCCCTCCACATAGAAGTTGTAACCAATGCAATCAAAACTCTTTCGTGCAACTTCGTGGTTATAAATAGTCTTTATATAACTCCTTTGCGGAGGGGGTTAATCTTTTTTTAATATAAGAAAAAAAATATTAAGCTCCTCTTCATAGTTGAAACCAATGCAATCAAAACTCTTTCGCTCAACTTTGTAGATATAGATAGGTATATTCAATATTTAACTATTGTCAGGGTATATAATTTATTTAAAATCCCTAACCACCCGAATACAAGAATGGCAACGTGGCAAATTTTCAAATTTCAAGAATTAGTTCTAGAATAAATTTGTCTCTCTCATTGCATAGGAGAGAGAAAGAAAGATATGTGAAATGTCAAACTTCCATCTGGTCTCAATTTTCTTTGTTATTTTGTTAAGAAAAGTGTTCTTCAGTAAAATTTTGGACATTTTTCGATCCTCAATCAAGTGTGGCTTTTAGATAAACTATAATATAATGAAAATATAGTGAAATTATTACTTTATAAGAATTATAAGGGCTGAAATAAAGAAAAAGTCAATGTTGCAATTATTTTCCGTTTTTCTGAAAAACGGTAAGAGATATCACCAGGAAAAAAGTTCAGATTCGTAATCTACGACCTCAAAATAGGGTGTTTCCAGTTTTCCCAATAATTTTTCATTTTGAAATTTGAGCAATTATTCACATTAATTTAATTTTATTTTTAGGAACTATTGTTGTACAAGGTAGATTCCACAGTGTCGCTGTTTCTAGTTGCTGTGCTAGAATACATTTCTGCCGACATTCTGAAATTAGTGGGCAACTACGCAAAGAACATCAAGCATGTTGAAATAACTTACCAAGACGTTCAGATTTCCATGAAAGTGGATAAGGTACCATATTGTTTTAATGCTGTTTATTGTTTTAATTTGCTGCTTACTAAAAAAAATTAACAAATGTTTTCAAAAATATAATTAGAAAATTTAAATAAAATGATATTAGAAAATATATTAAATATATTGTCACGAAATATTTATGATTGATATTTTTAATAAGAAAGGAACAATATAAAAAATAATAAAATTAGAGTTGCTATAAAAACTGCTTTTTGCTTTTCACGCTGCGCCACAAGCCCACATTCATGGTACGTAGCAGTTATATTTTTTTTATATTGATGGTACTGACGTGCATGGTAATTTTTTACTGAAAACACTATAGATATTTCTGTTTTATTTTATGATATTATGATAAATATTTTTAGATAAATTGTATATATTAGTTACATTCTACACATTTAATTAGAGAAATCTGAAATTTTCTTTAATGCTTCTTAGGTCTTGTTTTTGTTGACTGGGCTGTGCTGTCTCTCCTTAAAAATTAAAAGTGAAAGGTATTATTACATTATTTATTGTTACTTTCATTTTTATTTTAAAGAATAAAATAACTAATTATTTAAAATTAAAAAAAATTGTTTTATTAGGTTGCGTTATGGGATTTACTGAATTTTTTGTAATCAATAATAATTCTTAAAAATATTTATTAATAAGTAAATATTGAAACTGATTTACTGTAAAGTCCATATTTTGTTTTTTTTTATATGTAAATAGACTCTCCATCCACTCATATCAACATGGACAAATATATTTTCTATATTTTATTATGTTTATGGTTTTAAAGTGTAAATATACAAGTCTATCTATTTATCAATTATAATACTTCATTTATTCTTGGAAAATTTGATACTCTTGAACCTTGTTTCTAAATATTCTGATTTTTTTTTATTTTCTTGGGATTTAGGTTCGGGAAAACTCTGATTAAGTTTTCATTTGGTTTTTCATTATCTTTATTTGGTTTTTAAAGGAAAAACACACGTTTCGGCTAACATTATGCTTTCATCAGTGTAGTGTCTATAACAAAGTACAATTTCAATTCACTTATCACAAAAATCTATGTTAATTTTTTTTTGGAGAAAAAAACATTTATACAATCACGAATACATAGTTACTTCATTTATTTAGTTGTTAATTAAAATTTTGTTAAAATAACTGTATACTTTAAATTTTTCTTTAAATATGAATATTTTTGCGATATTCTGGAAATATTGACGCGAAAATCAATATAAATACGTTTTTCAGTTGAAATCTCTTGTTTAATGAAATATGAATAATTTTACTACACATAACTATTTTTTATCACTCTGGATCTATGTTTTCCTGGCGTGATATACCGGGTGCGTCTCAAAAGCTCACCCTTTTAACTTTTTTATTTTTTCAAATAAAAAAACGAGATTTGGTATGTTAGTAAATTAGGAGGATTGATTGGAGTATTCAATTGTTTTTGGTCACTTTCTGTTTCACCGGAAATGACTACAACTTTTGTTTTTTAAATAGCACTCTCGGTATATTTTTACTTTATTCAATAGAAAATGATACTCTGAATAGAATGACATATCATATGTCAGCTTTTGACATTTTCGCTTTAAAAAAAATGTATTTTAAATTTCAATCTAGAGTGCCATGGTTGTGTTGAAAACACTAATTTTTAATTAAGGAGCCTTGGAAAAATAGATTTGATCGTCTAATGTTTTTCGTGTCTTGTTCTGGCCTGTTAAAAGATGCCCAAATCGTATTTTTAATCATACCTCAATTTTTTCAAATGGAACAAGGATGGTTCATTAGTATATTTGAAAAAAGCATTTTTTTGCAAATAATTTGATACCACATACTTTGTATTTCGAATCAAATTGTCGTTATGAACCGCATGTTACAATTTCAAATAAACCATATATTATGCGTAAATGTCAAATGTCGACATACGATATGTCATTCTATCCAGATATATTATCAGATAAAGTAAAAAATTTAGAGAGTGTCATTTAAAAATCAAAAGTTGTAGTCATTTCCGGTGAAACAGGAAGTGACCAAAAACAATTGAATACCAGAAACGTATACTAACATACCAAGTCTCGTTTTTTTATCTGAAAAAATAAAAAAGTTATAGGGGGTGAGTCACTTTTGAGATGCACTCGGTATACATGGTATGTTCTAGTTGCGATAACACATGGATTGTATTGTGTATGATATGTCATTTGCTTTGTATTCATAGGCGTAGCAAGTCCTGATCTCATTTATACTATGGTCATATGATATAAAAACATAAAATAAAATACAGTTTTTATCCATTATCAGAAAATAACATGTGAGAAAATAGTTAATAAACAAATGTTGCTACAATCAAAGACATCTAAATGGGTAGACAGAACACACACTCCATTCATAAAACTCATTTTTTTTAATCATACATGGTTTGCCATTTTCATGAGAGTTAAAAAGGGATGGGTACATAAATATGACAACACGGTTGAGTTTCGTCTATCTTTCTGTCATTTGGCTCTATCAGTGGCGTGGCGGTGGCGTGATATTTTTTTTATCAACAATTGATGAATTTTATCAAAAACTGATTGGGATTGCCGCAGACCAATTTTCAGAGGTCTAACTGAGGGTAACTCTAATTTCACAATCGAAAGCGCCAACAAAATAAGAAAATGTATGTACTTTTGTAATAATCTACATATAACTAAAAGTATCTAGATACGCTACTGTAAGCATGGCTAAAGGTAAAAAAACGTAATGAGACTTACCGTCGAAATATCAATTCCGGGTTAGAATAGTCCACCTTTTTACAAACTATGCACTGGCGAACCATCTTAAATAGTTAAAAACTACTTTAAATAGTTTTCTTTGCAATAAACACTAATCATTAATAGAAAGTTGTTCAAAAACTCACAACCGCGCGCTGTCAAATATAAGTTAAATGAAAAAAATGAAAACGTCAAATGTCAGCTTAATTCCTACAGATTTCGATAATTTCGTAGTAAAGATGAATCCGCAGCGATGCTGCTAGTTGTCATTGTAATTTCCCTAATATAATTTAATTAGAACACTAAAAATAATTTCAAAGGTATAATCCTGGCACAATGTATGTATATTAATTGAAGTTATATACGTATACAAATATTTAATTTAACGTTTCTATAGGGGTACCCAAAAAACATTAATAACAATAATAACATTTGGAACTCGGACCGTATTCTATCACATATCGCGTAAATCTGTCATCATCGATTTTTGCGGAACACGGTTCGTGATCGCGATAAAATGTAAATTGTTTTCTCTCCCTTTATTTAGATGTGTTTGGCTGCGATACAGTCAGTGTATACCTGATGACTTAATTTTTTTTTGGAAAAATATGTATCCACAGTGTTAAAAGACCCAGTGCAATAGTTAACATTGTTAATTGTTTGAAAGTTAATATTTATTGGTTAAGCAAGTTTATGTAAAAAGTTAATGAGAAATTTGGTATCTTTCAAAAAAACTATTACTTTGTATATGGCACACAGATTTTTTAATTTTTCGATAGTAATCTAAATGTGCTTGAAGGATATATAGACAGCACTACTTATATTTTTTTACGGACAAAATGACGTTATGCTAACACTTATATTTTGTTTCTTATTCTCTCCTCACTCTAGCTTATATTTAGTTGCTTGCTCTGCTCTTTTCAGTTCAATTCTCTTTAATTTGCTTTCGACTACTCTTTACCGACACTGGATATTTTGCATTATTAATAAATACACGTATATAAATAATTTTAATATATATTTGAAAGCACTTTTATATTTATGTGCACTGTTGCATGTAAATGTCACGTTGTATGTTTTGTGGATATCTAAAAGTAACAGAATGATGATATTCTCGAAGAAAAGGTACTCCTCATTTATTCTAGCCTCTTGTTTATGTTTTTTATTTATTTGATAAACTTTATATCAGTACGTACTTCAACATATGTAGGTCCGATTCTGCTTTTTTTCGTAGTTACAGGGCGTTAAAATCATAACAATCTTTCGATTTATTATAATTTTCTTCCAAGTACTTTTAGTGATTCCAATGAAATTTTGAGGATAAAAATTACTATAATTGCTACATATTTTAATGCTAAAAAAGTGTCGATAAATTTATCAGGGACGTGCATATGGGTTATCACTCGAATATTTTTCAAAAAAAAAACATGTCCGCTACTGACTTTTTTCTTTTGATATCAAAATTGTGTAGGGCGTTTAATGCCAGTTAAAAGTTATCTCTTGATATTTTGTCGAATTCGGCCTCTTTGATGAGATAAACGTAATTTTATTAATCACAATTAATAAAATTAAAATAAAAATAAAATTAATAAATTATATATTTTACCTAATTTAATATTAAATATTATTATTATCAGTTATTAATTCTAATAGTCTAACCTACAGCAATTTCAAATAAAAAAATAATGGTATTTAGGATTATTACAAAAAACCTAATTTTAAAAAGATTTAACATCCTGTAAAACTATTCTATGCATTTCCATACCCATGTTTATAGGGACTTTTTTTCATATTTTTTGAAGAGGAGTCAATGAGCACTTAAATTTTTTAAAGGTTGCTATTAGACTTGGATCAATGCAAATTAACAGAATTGCGTTTATCTCATCAAATCGACAGAATATCAAGAGACGACTTTTAATTGGCATTAAACTGCTTACACTATTTCGCCAACAAAAGAAAAAAGTCATTGGCGTACATGCTTTTTTATAAGAAAAATATTCGAGTTATACCCCATATGCACGTCCCTGATGAATATGTCGACACTTTTTTAGCTTTAAAATACATATGTCGCATTTATAGTAACATTTATTCACAAAATTTCATTCAAAACGTTAAAAGTACTTGGAAGCAAATTATAATAAATGGAAAAAATAATAAGAATTTGACACCCTGCAGCTACAAAACAAAGCAGTATCGGACCTATGTTGATATGAAAAATAAACCTTATTTTTACGTGAGAAATGTCCCCACGAGAGATGTCAGTTTTTTGAATCACCGTGTATACATAAGGGCTTCAAGTACCCCTTTTTTCTAATTTATCTATATTTTTATATTCTTTTTATTGCAATAATTACTATTTACAACTATTGATGGGTTGTCAAATAAATAAGAGCTTAAGCTAAACATTTCTTAGTTTTAAGTATAATGCTGAGGAATATAGCTGTAATTGTGAGAATTTAAAAATTATTTAGTTAATGAAATTCACACTTCACACGCCGGCCGCTTTTCTAGGAATTGTTGATCTTTTACTATTAGATATTTATGTATGTTTTACACTACATACAGAGTAATTTATTAAAAGAGTGATGGACTTATACGCAGCGGCGTAGCGTGGGTTAGGGTCTCCTGGGGTGGAGAGAAAGTTTGCCGCCCCTACAGAATCAAAAATACGCCTTGGTAACAATTTTTTGCAGTCCCGCCCGCCCCCGCCTTTCTACGCCACTGCGTATACGTGTAATACTGTATAATCGTAAATAAATATAATTAGCTTGATTCTGGAAATTATTGCTAAGTAATTTATTTTGGCAACAAATATATTAATATTAGACAGGATTGGAAAAAATCGTGATTTTTTTTAAAAAATCCAAAAAATCAGATTTTTTTTATTTAAATCAGCTTTTTTTGATTTTAATTCAAAAAAATATTTAAATCGGATTTCCAAATGACTAAACTTATTTCCATTTAAAGTCCTATCCTAAATGGCTAAATCTTTATAACTCTGCCCGATACCGATAACATTAACAACTCTACGGCGCGTGTGATTTTTCCACATCGGTCACTAATATATTCCGCAAAACAAATCGCTTGCTTCACATCAAAAGGATTTTTTTTCAAACATCTCAAAAATATTAACTTTTATCATTTGAACGCCTAGGCAGTTCATAAAAGAAAAGCACTGTTACGCCCAAGCACAAAAGAAAAGCACTGTTACGCCTAAGCACAAAAGTACAAAAATATTAGTAGTGGGAACTATCGAATGAATACTATCGAAACATTCGATAGTTGCAATTCATTCGAATAATTCGATAGCTAATAAGAAAACATTCGTTGAAAACTATTCGAATAAAAATTATCGAATAGATGCGTCATCTGCCTTGAAATATTGTATTCTAGTAATTCGGCAGGAAAAACCATTCATTTATAAAATTCATTCATTTATGAAATTCATTTATTCGTCAGGATCGATTATAATAAAATATTAACTGGATTTTAGTTGTCGCCCGGCGACGTAGGTTTCTTTCCGAGAAACCCGACAGCAATGCTATGAAAGAAGCCGGCATCTTTGATTTTTTGCGGAGTCATATAAAGATAAGGACACATTATTTTTTTATTGAGGTGCTAGTATTTACACAGAAAATACATTATGAAGGGCGCTGTTGCCATATATTGGTATTAGTTGATATTAGCAAAGAATATTATTGTTTGGCTTTAGTTAGTTAGGGATAGTATGTTTATATATTTTGCATTTTTTTATTAATATTCTGTTGTTACACTGCAATAATACTTGTTATTTTGGATGTAGGAAAATGATTTTTAATGTTTTTAAGCAAAGACTGGTTTAATAAAAAATAATAATAACAGTAATAATTTGTTATACCTATTGACAACAAAATTTAAAATAATTTAATATAAACATTTTTTACGTAGTAGCAAAATATAAACAACAAATTAGATGTCAAAATTATTTATATTAGATCCTATTTAAAAATAATATAGTCTTTAAATTTTTTGGCAACGTTTTGGTTTATTAAATAATAATAATTACAGAACTAATTTGTTATATTAACAACAAACTTTAAAATCATGAAATATAAACATTTATTAATTTTCTAAGCATGCAGTGTAATGGAAGGAAAATATAAATAAAAAATTAGAAATCAAAATTATTTATATTAGCTACTTTATATTTACTATTTAAAAATAATATTTACTTTTACTGGCATTTACTTTAAAAAATAAATGATATATTTCTTCGCAAAAAAATACACGTAAGAAAATTAGCATAAACAAAATACAAACATCGTTAGCTTTTTTTTAAATTGGCACGTGTAAAACTTTCAATTTAATTTTCTCATCCCATAGTTTGAGTTCGATAACTATATATTTACTTAACCACATTACTTAAATATGATTATTAAGTTCAACTAATTCATATTATTAAAACATCTAAAATACAAATATGTATTTTTAAAATTAATTCTAAGTTCATCTCATCTCTCTTAAAAATTGCTACTTCTCAAAATTTCCCATTAAAAAATAGACCATATACCATATAAAATAAAATAATTGAAAGATCGGGCTACGGAAAATCACACAAATTTTCGGAAAATTTTTGACCACCTGACCATGCACACAATCGTCAATTAAAAAAAAACTACTATTTTAGTATTTTTAATATTTTAATAAACGCAAAAATAGCACAGTATTTATAAGGCGAAGTTATAAAAATTTGGAAGAACTAATAATGCACTCACGCACACAAAAATCAAACGAATACTAAATTTCATTTATCAAAATCATTCGATAGTCGTGGCTCAACGATAACCATTTAGTCGCACGGCGAGGTTGTCACATATGCTTTAGTATACAAATGAATGAATGATTTTATTCGAATAAAACCATTCGATAGTTGAAATCATTCATTCAGTAACCATTCGATAGTCTAATTCATTCGATAGTTCCCATCGCTAAAAAATATACTATTAAACTGATATTAAGTGTCAAATTCAAGGAGTGTACAAATTGTTGCTCGATTACTGTTCATATTATTTGCAATGTTTGAAATTGATTAAAAAATTATTTGTAATGTTTCAAAAAAATAGTATGTTCTATTCGGAGTAAAAATGTAATTTTTGTGCCTCCCTGTAACGTTGGAAGGGTCCTTCACATGTACATCGTCAAAAAAAGTATAATTTTTACTCCTAATAAAATAATACACTATGTTTCGGAAATAGTCTTAAGTCGAAAATGAAATTAGTATGTATTATCGAATGTCAAAGTATAAAGTACTTACTGAGATCAAAATGTCTGTAGGAATTTGGAAACCAATCAACCGTTTCAAAAAAAAATCAAGATATTTTCTGACAACGATATTGAACAATTATAGATTCTTGGTAATGAAGATATAGTCTCTATATCAGAAGAACCTATATAGTTCTGCACTAGACTTTGCGAATGATATGTATTCGAACAGCGAGTTTTTGTCACTTATACATAAATTTTAAAATAAATCTCTGCGTTTAGCGGTCTAATGGATTCACACGAAATTACTTCAAAAATCGGTCCAACATTTAAATTGATGAATAGATATTTTTATATAGTTTTATAACATTTATAATTATTTTTTGATTTATTATCTGTTATAGAAATATTTTTTCTAGTTTTCTGGAACACTTTTTTATAACTTTTACAGTTATTTTTTTATTTATTATAAAGTTTCAATAAAATTATTTTTTGATTTAAATCACATGATTAAAATTAAAAAATCACTTGATTTAAATCATGCCAACCCTGATATTAGTGACTAATCTGTTATCACATTGCGACTGTGATTTTATAATTACAGTATAACTTGAATAGTCCGGATAGTCGCTAGTCCGGGCACTTCAGTTATTATTCGGGAATTTTGAAAAAATCATGCGCGAATCTCTAAAGCAAAAACGTTTCTATTTTGTTTATGAACTGAGTCTATAGTCCTGCATTTGATTATTGAGTGTGTTTATTAAAAAAAATATATTAGATTATCTTCATTCAGGAAAAAAAAATTGCCAAATTGTCCAGCAGATTATGACACCAAAATCTGCAGTTTCAAATTTAAATATCAGTTGTAATAGAATTTCCAAACACTTTTTTAACAAACGTTTGCTGCTAAAATAAGATTGCCGAGCTATCAATTTCAGAACTAAATAAATCATATATTTTTATGTCAATTCACACAGTAATTACGAGTAATTTAATGTCTTTTTTTTGTATACAAAAATATATAGTTTGTCCAGATAGAGAAAAATGATTCCGCCAGAGAACGTAGAAAACTAAGCTATTTTTGAATTAAAATAACGACAGACAGCAACTGTCTTTTTAGATATAGTCTTTAGCTTGGCAGACTATATCCATATCACTTTATATAACTACCGTTAAGACAAGGCTATATGAATACTATTAATCAGTAGTTTTTATGAGAATATTCTAACAAATTTTAGGCTCTTATGGATATGTTCTATCAGGATGAAGGAGGGGGTAATCTGACTGAACGTATGAGCGAAATACTTATTTCCGCAGCTCCAAGAACGAGTTTGACGTATGAAGAGACTGTTAGAGAATTAATAGCATCGGAGAAGGCGTATCTTAAAGAACTGCACATGATTATTAAAGTTTTTAGGTAAAATACCGTTATTATAGCTAAAAAAATTGTGTGTGCACTATATGTGCATATTTGAAGTGAAGCTTCTTGCTAACAGCTGTTAAAATGTTTATGAATATTTTTTTAGGGAGGAAATAAAAAAATTAACTCAAGATCCTCGTGATATTGAACTGATATTTTCAAATATTATGGATATCTATGAACTAACCTACACTCTTACTGGCAGTTTAGAAGATGTGATGGAAATGGCTCAAGAACAAATGCCGTATATAGGAAGTTGCTTTGAAGGTAAGTGCCGGTATTACTGTTCCACCCATAGACTTAAAATAAAATATAGACTACACTATTTACATCTCAACGCGGCCAAACAATCTTTTTTGTACACATGTTTACTTCTGGGTACAGTCGACCGAGCCTTCCTCATCTAGCCTATATTGTCACGTCTTTAATATTATCAATATTTTTTTTCTTGTTATACACATATATTGAGATATTAATACTACAATTTAATAAAATAGGTTTTAATATTCCATAGATGTATTAAATAGTCCTTATACTACTAAATTATAAGTCGGATACTGTTTAAAAAGGATAAGTTCTTTACAATATGACAACACCGATTAGAAGCGAGGAAGCCTATTTCATTCATTCATTCATTTATTACCTTGTAGTACGCGTCGCACGTGTGCGGTAAAGCTTTGTTGCCGCTATGTCCCCGGCTGTATTAACGCATTTTCTTAGCTTGTAGTCCTTAAGTGTTTATTTTATTGACTTTTTCTGTTCAAGAACTTTAAAATATGGTTCGCCAGTGCCAAATTTGCAAGAAATTTGACTTAAATAATCCATTTAAGTCTTGAAACGACTTTCGACCGGTAGGCAACTCTTAATTTACCCAGAGTCAGTGGCATTGTTGTAGAAAGGCGCTTATTTAAATAATAATCAGAATCTAAAATAACATACAAAAATTTTAAAATGATATTACATTATGAAACAATATTTTTAATATACCGGGTCGTCTCAAAAGTGGCTCACCCCCTATAACTTTTTTATTTTTTCAGATAAAAAAAACAGATTTGTATGTTAGTAGGTATATGACATAAATTAGGATTTATTGACGTATTCAATTGTTTTTGGTCTCTTCCTGTTTCACCGAAATGATTACATCTTTTGATTTTTAAAGGCACCCTCGGTATATTGCTACTTTATTCGATAAAAAATGACACTCTGAATAGAATGACATATCATATGTCAACTTTTGACATTGTCGCTTAAAAACAAATCGTATTTTAAATTTCAATCCAGGGTGCCATGGTGTTGTTAAAAACACTAAGTTTTAATCAAGGAGCCTTGGAAAAATAGTTTTGATCGTCTAATAGGTTTCGTGTCTTGTCTATGCCGGTTAAAAGATGTACAAATCGTATTTTTAATCATACATATGTCAATTTTTTCAAATGGAACAAGGGTGACTTATTAGCATATGTGGCAAAAGCATTTTTTTATGAATATATTGATACCACACACTTGGTATTTCGAGTCAAATTGTCGTTATGAACCGCGTGTTACAATTACAATTAAACCATATGCGAAAATGTCAAAAGTTGACATATGATATGTCATTCTATTCAGAGTGTCATTTTCTATCGAATAAAGTAGAAATATACCGAGGGTGCCGTTTAAAAATTAAAAGTTATAGTCATTCCGGTGAAACAGGAAGTGACCAAAACAATTGAATGCGTCAATCAATCCTAATTTATGTCATATACTAACATACTAAATCTTGTTTTTTATTTGAAAATATAAAAAAATTATGGTGATGAGCCACTTTTGGGACGCACCCGGTATAATAAAGACAGTACCGAGTTAAATAAATGTAGTTTTCATTTTATCCACTTCCTATCACCTTCCTTGCTTTAATGGAACAGATTTATGTTTTCTCTAATTTACATAATAAAGCTTGATTTTCATGCATCCGTTGTCCGACGATGCGTTGATACGATTTAATTTTATTAGTAGAATTTAAAGACTTTGATTGGTTAGAAAATAACGCAGTTTTTGAATTTATTGCATTTTCATGCCTCCGTTTATCGGATATACGTTGGTGTTATTTTATATTTTCGTTTCCATAACGATTTTGCTATTTTACTTATATTTTTATTATTGTTAGATTAAATTTGTCAAAAAAGTGTCAAAACGTCCGTTATCGTATGAACGGGTCCGTTGACGGGCTGAAGTAAAATATTTACGGATGAAAAGTGGCGCGAAAACTCTATGTCCAATCAGAGCACCGTCGGACCAACGTATCAACGTATAACGCATGCATGAAAATTAAACTTAAGACATCACTTAACCAGAAAAAAAATTACAACAATCATATTTTTTTTCTCTCCCTGTCGCCGATTATATCTGTGGAATAGATCCTGTTTTGATTAATATTAGGGGTTGTAAATGTTTGACTAAAATTAATAATTTATTATTAATTTCAAAAATTACGTAATTTCGATTATAACATTTCTTCTATAACGTGTATTTTATTATTTCTATCCTTTTTGGACTCTAAGATGTTTTTTCTAAACTTTTATTTAAAAAACCTATCCCAAATCTTAATAAAATATAAAAAAGTTTAAATACGATATATTTTTAATTTAATTATAGCTTCATTAAAATAAAAAAAATACCCGGCTATGATACAGTGAGTTCAGGTGTACTTGAGAAACGAAAGACAGTGTTGTGTTTCTCGGCAGAGTCGTCAGGGAACGTTCGTTACGACAGAGACAACCTATCTATCGCTCGTGTCGCACTCGTTATAACCTAAAACAATAACAAGACATTGTCTGACCGCATGTTCCAGCTATTTATGAATGAGATGCTCAGTCTATATTTTATTTTAAGTCTATGGTTCCACCTATCATGCAGTATACTACTACACTCTAAGTCATGAAAGATACATTGTCTTTTCAGATGTATACTTTGCATTTTTATTACAAGTAATAAAAAATAAACCAAATAAAAAAATTGGTCAAGTGCGAGTAGGCCTCGCGCACGAAGGCACGAAGGGTTCCGTACCATTCATTATCTATACAACATTAGACACTATATTATTATAAACTTCCGATTTAGCTGAAATTTTGAATGCGCGTATAAGTAATTTAAAAAAAATTAAGAAACACATTACTAAAAATTGTATTAATCAATAATAAATATGGAAAAGGTAAATATGTAAAAATATGCAAAAATTAAAAAAAAAAACGATTAAAAGAAAGTCGCCTTGACTAGGATTCGAACCTGCCTTACTACGCCTGCAACGTCATAGCAGCGTAAAGTCCTAACGCTTTTCTACGCGGCCACCGAGGACTTGAAAGATTCTATGTAAAATTCTTACTTAAAATATAATGTTTAGTGAAAGTACTTTTTTATTTATAAACATTTATTTAATTCTGTTTTTAATATTTGTTATAGCGGCAACATAGATACATTATCCGTAAAAATTTCAACTGTCTAGCTATAACGGTTCATAAGATAGACCTTTGTGACACACGGACGGATAGCGAAGTCTTAGTAATAGGGTTCCCGTTTTACCCTTTGGGTACGGAACCCTAAAAAAAGAATGAAATAGCTAGCTCCCGGCTCTAATGTATTTATATAGAAATATTTGACTCTTTCTCTCTCTAATTATTTCCTTCAATGTTTACAATGCAGATGCGGTAACAGTAGAGCTGTCTGCCAGATTAATGTTAGTAAAGGCAGAAGTTATTAATGACTGATTTTATAAATAGTAAATTAAATAAAATACTTTTCTAATTTTTTTAAAAACCATTCGCGAAATAGGTTTACTTATGCAATCGTTTATTTTTCAGAACTGGCTGAAGCCAAAGAATTTGATGTTTACTGTAAATATGGAAGAGATGTCACGTCATCAGTTTGTCGGCAAACTTTGTTGAGTTTGTTATCCAGACAGCAGGCTGCTCTGAATACGGCTGGTCAGGGCATGCCATTAGCTTTAAAGTATTGCTTACCGGCATTACTAACCCACCCAATTTGGCATTTCTTTTCCTATATGGATTATATTAGGTAAGTGAGAATATTTAGCATCTTTGTTATTGCCATATACCGATTCGGTCATCGAAACTGTGCGGTCTGGATTTTAACGTGTAAGACAGTGATGCAGACAGCTTAATGGAAAATCATATGTATTAAAAAGAGATATAAATTGGGACACATTTCTTCTATGCGGTATTGCCGGATTTTGTATCAAAATTTCAAACCGCACAATTATACTCTGTTTTTTTTCTCAGGTAAGATTTCGACAGACGATGACAGTAGAAAAGCAGATGACGTCCCGTCCCATACCAATCTATTTATTTTACTAAAAAAGTTTCTAATAATTTTTAAGTTAACTATGGGTGGGTTTAAACATAAATCCGTCATGCGTCGTCTCTTGTTGTTTTTAACCAGTTTTATTGGTTTATTTCAAAAATGACAGATCGTATTTCAATTTTATTGGTTTGACGGAACGATCAACGACAAACGGATGCCGCGCGCCGATGCGTATGAACTCGTCTTTAGATTTATGACGCTTGTCAAAGTCTTGCCAAATTATAGGTTATAATTTTGTGTCAACTTTTGTCAAATGCCCTGCGTTTTGGAAGATGATGCATTTTGATTCGTGTTATAACGTGTATTTTGTGTCTTTTGAAGTCAAGTGGAGGAAAAATCGAGTGAAAATTAACTGTAGACCCAGAGCACAGTTTATGATTAATACTCGCTGCCCAGGCAAAAAGTCTTATACACCAATAAAGTTACCATCAATAAAGTTCGTATACCATCTCGTCGTAGATAAGTGCATCTCGAATATGGTAGAAGGACCATTCTAAACACATACTAAAAATTGGAGTAGCTGTAAAATATCGACATCACACGATAGGTAAATAATGGATTTTAATACTGGAGAAAAATAATGCTAAAATTTACTGGTTTAAAAAAATTAAGATTAAAGTTAATTATAAACCTTTAAGGTATAAAATTTGGGAAGTGTTATTATTAATAAAATAGTTTGTTTTATTTATGTTGTTTTATTTATTTCTGTGGAATATTACAAATTTGTATTTGTACATACTTAAGTTATATTGATAAATATAATCATAAATGCGGGAAGTTTCATAAAGCTTGACAGTAAGAAATAGTTCTTTTATATATTTTTTGGTATGTGGTATCTTGTTCTTGTTTGTTTTGTATTAACATATACCGTTTTTTATTAAATTAAATAACTCGATTACATTTTTTCAGTTTTATACAGTTTTTTTCACAATATTTTGAAGTAATCACTTGTCAGTTAAATTTTAAATATATTAATTTCCTGCTATGCGTTCCAGTTGTACCAACTTATTTCTTTGTAAAATAAAATAAACTACTCTGAAATTAAAATGACCGACACATCTATCACTGTCAAAGATCTTCTCGTTGGACAGACTATAGGCGTTTACAAAAAAATGTTGCATCTAGGGTTGGAACTTTTTTTTTCACTATTGGTTACTACAGCTGTAATAGATTATATTTAGTTTTGATATATTATCATCATTTCAGTAGTATACATGAAAGTTTTTAAAATAGCTGATATTTTTCTACACACGTTTTCCTACAAAAGTAAAAAACGGCAACGCTGTATGCCGCTTTTGATTTTGTATCTCTGTCTGTTAACCGGTCATTTATACATTATACATATTATTCTCTGTCACACGCATTAAAATCCAGACCACATAAATTGGATGACCAGCAGGGTATGTGCTAATGACAATGTTTGATTTATTTTGAGACTTGAAACTGAGATAAAAAAAGTTAGTATTTTGAGAAGAATTTTCTCATTATGTATTTAGTATTTAGGAATAAGCATTTTATTTATTGAAATGAATGGTCTTATAAAAGTAACAAGAATATCACATGAACGAAAAAAAAACAACGTTAAAGTGGTCTTTGGAGTGAGAACCGCTGATAATTTGGATTGAACAGGCTGGTCATTTATCAGATGGTATACTGACCATTTATCAGAAATTGACTTAAAAATTTGACTAAAATTCATAGGTAATGTTAATTTAGGAAATTTTTGGATTGAAATCCATTTTTTAAAAATATTTTACGGAATAGGTTTACAAACGATTGGTGTTCCTACAGATTTTTTTTTTCACTTCCTCATATGACATAGGCGTTGTCTTAACTGTATATTATCAGTGATCAGTGATTGTCATTTCAGAGACCACTGTGACGCCATTTTTTATAAGGTATGGTCTTTAATCAATGGAAATTGTTTCTAAATATTATTTAAATATAGAGAATACTTTGGATTGTTTTTGCTATAGGCTTGGTGCATTCTCTTTGCTATAGGCTTGGTGCATTGGCTCATTCCGCAAAAAGGTAAATATTTTGATATCTTCAGAAGGTCTAACTTGCATTATAATCTAAAAAAAAATTAGATGAGTTCAACTACGGTAGCGAGTATAGTTTTGTGACCGGTTTTGCTAATGGGGCATAATTGGAGCTATTTCGCCTATAACGAACTTTTTTAAAGGTACATAATTAATTATAAATTTAGAAGATGTTCATAAAACATTTAATCACTAGTTGATTAAAAAAGTATACCATTAATATTGCAAGTTATATTTCATCCTCTCATAGTATATGTCTATTTAATTTTTTGATTATGAAACGAGCAATTTGTTTACTCACTTGTTTCGTCGAACTGCTTGAATCCATTTTTGCTGTTGATCAAATCGGTGTAAGAAATTATGAAGCTATAAAATGTTGTTTCGGGAGAGTTGAATATCCGGGAAAGTTGAGTTATGTTATTGCACTCAACAACGCCCTAAATACGCTCTCCTTTACGCGTTAACATTTTTTTAGACAATTTTATTAACATTTGAAATTGTCACAACACAAGACGCCTAACACTTTTTAACTAGCTTTTTCACTTATTTTTTACTACCCAAAAGAGCGTTACATCACACAAACCTCGTACCTGAGCGTTTTATAGAAAATGCACCAAGCCTATTACGAGATAATTTTGTAGTAGAAATCGGTATGGTACATTTGAACTACTGTTAATTTATAGATTACTAATTGGATTATCACCGGCACCCGAAGACAAGGAAATGTTAACTGAAGTTGAGGGAATGCTAAAACCGCTGCGCGACGAACTAAGTAATATTTGCAATTAATTATCTGTTTATGGTACTAATAATTTGTTATTTAGCTCACTGCGTACCCTCGCAAGCAATGCCGAGAAGCTGCGCTAAGTCAAATCAAGTGAAAACTAGGCGATCCGCGGCCATAGAAAAAATTCAAGAACTGGAAAAAATTGTAGAAAATTGGGATTCAAAAGATTTGGGCCAATGCTGTAACGAATTTGTTAGAGGTAAGTAAATTTGGCGTTGATAATGTGTGGACGTTCGCTACCTCTCTATTGTAATCGCAAAACATTTTCCGATGCATGTCATCAATCATATCGACATTGACACTAAAGTCTATAAACCTGACTAAATGAAATTTTGGCAAAAATGTTTAAATTTGTTGTATAATTTAAGATACCGAGCAGCTCTTTATTTTACATATTATATTTAGATTAAAGCTGCAAAAATTAGTTTAAACCGAATTTTATTATCACTATGTTGGTCACACTGCACCGTTTTCAGCACGGTTGTCGTTTATTATTTGACAATTATCCTAATATCAGTCATTATTTTGTATAATATTGTGTTGTTGTTGTGAGTAATTCTCGTGTTTTTGCCTGTTTTCATAGTCTTTTATTAAAAATTGTACTTTTAAGCACAAACAGTTCTCTTAAGAACTAAATTTTCGAGTTTTTGTATTGCATTTCTTGAAATTGTTTGTTGAAAATATGCCGAAGCATTTAAACAATCGAAGCAAAGAGCTTGTAGCTTCCCTGATACACTATTTTGAACGAGGACGTGGCAATAAAGGTCCTTTAATACCCATGACTGCAGTCAGAGAAGTAACTTTGATTGATAAGCACATTACATCACTTTCAAAGTTATTTCTACGTTAGTTTTTATTAAATTCTGTGATTATTAAATTGTGCATCAATGCACCCTCTTACTTGTTATTACCACTTATTGCGTTGTAAGATGTACATCAATAAATAATCCATAATAACGCTTAAAATAATATTCATAATGGACTAGTTTTTGCCAATATGTAATAAGTAAAATATGCTATAAAACAAATAAATCAATTAATTACTATAATATTAGTTATTAAATGAAAAATAAAACGTAAAAATCTTTAAAAAATTATATAATAAATGTATTGTTTGTCACTTTTAAATTAAGACTCATCCCATAAATCCATCACAATCTGGCAGCGCTATAAGTAAAATAAGCTATAAAACAAATAAATCAATTAATTACTAAAATATTAAATTAAGATTCATCTCATAAATCCAGTACAATCTGGCAGCGTTGTCGCCATCGCTTGTCACTCAAAGTTGATGACGTGCATCGGAAATTGTTTTGCGATTACCATATATCATGTAATTTAGTAAAATTACATTTACTCGTAAGTTGGTTATTGTAAATTGAGGTCAGAAAATTTAACATTTTTATTGATTTTACGTTTTAAATTTTTTTAGAGGACGTATTGACAAAACTGAGTCAGAAAAGACTCACCGAACGACGGGTGTTCCTATTTGACGGTCTTATGGTGCTTTGCAAACCTACCGCCTCATCCAGGAGACAGAGTTCTATACATCACACGTCACACCCAGAGTGTCGGTTGAAGGAACGTTTCTTTATGAGAAAAGTACGTTTTAAATATTATTTTTGCGGAATGTTAGGTTAGACTGAATATTATTTCTAGGTTGACATTAAAGATCATGAAGATACTGATGAAATTAAACACGCTTTTGAGATTTTACCAAGGCAGATGCCTAGCGTTATGCTTTGCGCAAAGAGTTTAGAGGAGAAAAATTCGTGGATGGCCGATCTAGTCATGTTAAATAATAGGTAAGTCGTTATGTGATGCACATGTTTACAGTTAAAACAAATCGTCGCTAAAATGTGATAAACTGCTAACTCCATTATTCCTAATTTTACAGGAGAGCAAAAAACCGTACAAAAAAATATGTACACATGTAGGAAGTATTTTCATTGGTTAATATGATAAAGAGATAAAAATTTTATTTGCTGGGGAACAATAAAACTCAATATTTAGATTTTTTAGACACAATAGGGAGATAGCAGATATTCGTCTTGCAGAAATAAGAAATAACAATATACTTCTGGAGATAGCAACCTTTATTGTCTGAAATTTTGAAAATGGAAATGAATATTACCCAAACAGATTTAGAAATAAGCAATTAAATTTAAAAAATATGATATTCATAACCATATACCGGGTACCGGGTGCGTCTCAAAAGTGGCTCACCACTATAACTTTTTTATTTTTTCAGATAAAAAAAGAGATTTGGTATGTTAGTATATGACATAAATGAGGATTGATTCGTGTATTCAATTGTTGTTTGTCACTTCCTGTTTCAACGGAAATGACTACAACTTTTGATTTTTAAATAGCACCCTCGGTATTTTTTTACTTTATTTGATAGAAAATGAACTTCTGAATAGAATGACACATCATATGTCAACTTTTGAAATTCTCGCTTAATAAAAAATTGTATTTTAAAATTCAATCTAGAGTGCCATGGCTATGTTAAAAACACTAATTCTTCATCAAGGAGCCTTGGAAAAATAGATTTGATCGTCTAATGTTTTTAGTGTCTTGTCCTGGCCAGTTAGAAAATGCTCAAATCGTATTTTTAATCATATCTCAATTTTTTCAAATGGACAGAGGGTGGCTCATTAGCATATTTGGAACAAGCATTTTGTTACGAATAATTTGATACAACACACACTTTATATTTCGAGTCAAATTTTTGTTGCAAACCGCAAGTTATAATTTCAAATAAACTATATGCGAAAATGTCAAAAGTTGCCATATGATATATCATTCTATTCAGAGTGACATTTTCTATCGAATAAAGTAAAAAAATGCCGGTGTGTCATTTAAAAATCAAAAGTTGTAGTCATTTCCGGTGAAACCGGAAGTGACCGAAAACAATTGAATACGTCAGTCAATCCTAATTTATGTCATATACTAACATACCAAATCTCGTTTTTTTTAACTAAAAAAATAAAAAAATTATAGGGGTGAGCCACTTTTGAGACGCATACGGTATTTATAATATCGTCGGTCTAGAAGCAAAAGATACAAGTCCAAAAACGAATAAATTTTAAATGCATTTTTACAGAACTGAAGTAACAGCATTTTGGACTTAATGAATATGAACATAATTTAAAAATTAAACTTATAAGTCTTAGAAGATATGGTAGAATCCTTCTATGCTTATCCTTATTTTTTTTTACAACGGTAGCAGACCGAGCTTGGAAAACAGTGCTGTAATTATAGGATGAAAACAGCGTGATTTTATTAAATTTTTATTACTTTTATCCTTATTTTTTTAATTTTTATAAAGATCATGTATCATTTACATGGAAAAAAGTTGAAAAAAATTAAACTTATTAGGTATTATGGAAATTCTTGTACAAGTAAGTAATGTTATTTAAACTATTTATAGCACGCTGATGAATTGCTCGTATATAGAGAATTTCGTTTTTCCCCTTACCCTTTACGGATACCCCGTATTTACAGAACGGATCGACGCAGGGTCGGACTGGCCATATTATATATATAACTATGAGGGGGGGCACAGCCTTCGCGGGCCCCCTTTATAGTTCATTATTTATTCTTAACAATATTTGCTTTTGCATTGCATTATGGCATTTGCATTGCATTGGTTTACCTTGCATTAGGGTAGTTTCCTGATTTCTATACAGGATGAGTCTTAAATAAGTGCAAATATTTTCAGGGCTGGTAAATATCGATAAAAGAAACATAATATTTTCTCTTTACCGTTTTTTCAAATAAATCCAAAACAACCGAGCAATTTCACTTTTATAATTTCCAATTTTTTGGTATAATTTTGAGAATCATTGGATTTTCTTTCTTGTAAATTTAATCTGCTACCTATGATGCCATATTACAAAGTATGTTTTTAAACTAAAAATTAAAAAAAAATCCAAATTTTTTTTTAAAAAATTCCAAATCTTCCAAAAAAAAATTCGCGCAAAAAAACTCATCGTGTTTCTTGGGTCGAAATATACTACCCCTAAAAAGATTTGCACTTATTTAAGACTCACCCTGTATATAATAGGGAAAAATTGACCAAAACGTAAGGCGAAAAAATACGCAAAAAAATCCACACGGCCCCTCCTTACATTGCCACCCGGGCCCCTTTGGCCTAGTGCGACCCTGGATCGACATACTGTACTAAAGAAACATACGAGTAAGAATCCGTGTGTTTGCTTTAGCGTGATCGTAACGGAAATTGCGGAGATAGCAGCATTTCGGTGGTTATTTCAGATCATTGTGGGTGCAAGGGTTATTGAAGCGATACATATAGCCTAGCTTACCCAAAAGTCAACCTCACCTTCACGTGGTGCACCCTGTTTAAACAACTGTTTAAACAAACGAGGCTCTGACGACCGAGTATAGGCGGTATATCATTATACAACCCTCAGACCTACCACCTTTCTGGGGAAGAGGAGTAGTAAACTACTCCTAGCCGGCCGAGAACGTAGCACAAGGGAATCGTCGCAGTCCTCACTGTGCCAAAGCCATTCCGTGCTACAGTTGCAGCCAAACTGTGCGGCAGCGTAACCGTCACAGTTTAACCTTTTTACGCAGCTTACACTCATCAAAGATGGAACATTCGAGTAGGACAAAATCATCGTCCGGAGGTAAAATACCCCCTCGATCGGATCTCCGGGAGGGGGTGCCTACTCGAGCGTATCATCGGAGAACTAAACATCGTCAATGTTTCACGTTTGCGGCGTGGAACGTCCGCACTCTACTGGACAGGACAAACTCCAACCGACCAGAGAGAAGAACAGCACTGGTCTCACAGGAACCCCACCGACTAAATATAGACGTTGCCGCTCTTAGCGAAACCCGCTTTGCGGATGAAGGTAGTCTCACTGAGGAGCATTACACCTTCTTTTGGAAGGGTCACCCGACAACACATAGGAAAATTCATGGCGTAGGCATTGCAATCAAAAACGAAATCGCCGCCAAATTAACAGAGGTACCTGTTGGTGTCTCCGAACGTCTTAGGTACCCCATATCAGACAAAACTTACGTCAACATCATAAGTGCCTACGCTCCTACCCTAGCCGCTAAAATTGAGGATAAGGATAAATTTTACCAAGCTCTGCAAAATATACTCCAACAAATTCCAAAGCACGAACGAATCATATTGCTAGGTGACTTTAATGCCCGTGTCGGCAAACAACAGGGACTATGGCCTGACGTATTGGGAAAACATGGAATGGGAAACGTAAATAGCAATGGTGAACGCTTATTAACAACATGCACAACGTATAATCTTTGCATCACCAATACGTGGTTCATGCGGAAGGACAAATTTAAAGGTACCTGGAAACATCCGAGATCAGGCCATTGGCACCAATTGGACCACGTAATCGTTCGAAGGACGCACCTAAAAGATGTCAGTCTCACAAAAGCCAGAGTAGATGCCGAATGTGGCACTGACCACCGACTTTTAATCTCAAAAATGAAAATCCAGTTAAAACCCAAACATCCACACTGTAAAAAGCAAAGCTACATGACCAGATTGAACGTACGGGGTCTAGAGAACAATGATACCGCCGACGCCCTCCGGGAAGCCATCAAAGAATCACTTCCACCGATAACTTCAATCTCAATCGTGGATGCTGAACATGGCTGGACACAACTAAGAGATGCGATTCACAAAACCAACGAAGCAGTACTGGGAAAATCCAACAAAAAGAAACAACCAGACTGGTTTAACGAAAATCAACCGCATATACAGGCTTTGTTGGAACAAAAGCATAGAGCACATCAAGCCGTCACTGCAAATCCACACAATCCAAGACTAGCAGACAACTTTAAGGCAGCCAACAACACGATCCGAAGAAACCTGCGCCAACTAAAGGATAACTGGTGGTCGCAAAAAGCTAGTCAGATTCAGGAGTATGCCACGCATCACGACTATCGTAAATTCTTCGAGGCTGTAAAAGAAGTATACGGTCCAACGAAGAAGGCAAGATGCCCAATCATGGCACAAAATGGCGAACTTCTAAAAGAGGAAGAGCAAATCAGAAACCGCTGGAAAGAGCATTACAGCCATATCCTTAACCAAGAAAACAACTCCAATATAGAAGCACTCAACATATTACCTCAGTATAACAGTCTCGATGTATTAGACCAGTGATTCCCAAAGTGGTCCAGGTGGACCCCCAGGGGTCCACGGGAGACTTGCTGGGGGTCTACGTAGGCGTGAACAAAAAATGGGGGTCCATAAGATGTTAATGGGGGTCCACGAAAATTTATCTGTTTTTGATAGTAAAGAGCAAAAATGTAAGCATAGTTTTTATAAGGGCCTACCTACATTGTTTTAAGTACCTATCTAAGCAGATAATATTTTAATAAGGCAAGCGACTGTTACTTGTCCAAACTTGCGTATTCGATATTACGTACAATTTCGTGTACAGACTTGCAAAGCGCTATCCGCCCGACAATGCTTAATGCTTGTTCAGACATGAACTTGATCACCACTATAAATACTTGATGCAAAGGCAAACGCATTCATTTGTTTCCGGAATTTCGAAAAAAGGCGGAATTTGGAAAAAAAGTTGTGAGAAAATTTATATCTGTGTTTGCTAGTGCCGGAGAAAAGTAAGTAACCTACCTTTTTTTGTTATAGTACTTAAGTATTTTGTTTACGTGTACTAGTCGGTTGATCACAACGGCCTGTATAGATAGGTAACTTAGTAACTTACAGATATTTTAATTGTCCTCTTTCGATTTGAAGACAAACACAGCACGTTTTATTCAATTGTTTTTTCAC